AAGAGTTTGATCCCGCAGTTCTAAATCACCCTCTAAAAATCGGGCGAGAATAAATGGAGAAGAGCTTTGAAAAAAGGAAATTAATGATCAGGACAATAAACTACTAAATTCTTGTGAGGAACTTAAATAAACATTAAACCAATTTGACCTAATTATTTTTCGATTCAACCGCGCAACAAAAACAAAAAATCCGGCCCCGCTTAATGTAGTTAAAATGTCAGACAATGTTTCAGAATCGTCCATAAAGTTTGCGTTTGATATTTTGCCAAATTGTAGGTATTTTTAGCTTATCCGCGTTCAACACATACTCTGAATGAAAAATAAAAAGACTCAAATGCACGGCATGTGGGCCACACTCGGTTTAGCTGGTTCAATTTTACACCCAGCATTTATATTGAGATTTATATTAAATTTAATCCTTTTCATCTGGGGATGTTTGAAATTGGATCTGGTTGGCTGTGAATCACTGTTGCCAACATTTCCAAATGACTTTGATCCAATATTGCAAAGCCTCTAGTTTCAGTGGAGTTTCGTAACCAAACGACACCCAAGCGTAAAAATCGGCTGAATTTTGAAGATCCTAATTTTGCAATTAGGATCTTCTCGTTAACTTGTTTTACTTTCAAATAACCGCGTCGCACTGGAGAACAAACACGACTGTCTGAAGTTGCTTTCGGTTATTTTTCCGGCAAACTCGGGACTGCAGACGGAGGCAGGAGGAAAACGGTCTTCCTTAATTTCCCGTTTTCTTTTCAGGGACATTCTACAGGAAATCACTTTAATAATATTCCTCGAGGCATCCGCGTATTTGTTTAGGCAGTCGAGGGTATTCATCAGGAAAATGTAGGAAATTTAATAAAATATTGGCGATCGGTTATGCAGAATGAATTTTGGGTTCAAAAAGCTCAAAACTGAGAGATTTTGCAATCACCAAGAAGCAAGAAGGGAAAGTGATCATTTTCTACTAGTTTTACAAGAACCAAAAAACGTTTTGGTTGCGGTTGTTTAGCTCAAGAAATCCAAATTTTTTCTTTTTTTAAATTTTTTAAACAACGGTTTTTCTTCGATATTTCCTAAGCAAAAAATTTTTACTTGTTCTACGTCGATAATTTCACCGTTTTCGAGATAGTTCACTTTTAAACCTCTAGTGCCTTTATGAACTAACCCGGAACAAAATAGATGTTACACGGACTAAGTTTGGAATTCGCTAAAGTCTGAGTTTTGGTAAAAATTAAGGATCTCAGACAACTTTTCTACAGGATGGCAAATAAAAAATCAAAAAAATCAGTCAAAAAAAAGTGTCACTGCAAGACCAAAAACAATTTCATTTTTGGAAGACCAGTCTGTAAATAAACGCGATTGTCGAAAAATTGATTTTTTTGAGATACGAGGGGAGATACAGAGATCTATCTTAATCCCTGTGGTATTGATTATACTGGGAGAAACTTGACCTCAACCACAAATTTTCGTGCAAAAACACGCACTAACCGAAAAGGAATTGCACTCAATAAACCTTCAAACAGAAATCAGTAGTAGAGATGGGATAAGCGGTTATTTTTCTGTAACAAGGTTACAACGTTCCAGTTTCACGTTGGTAATAGGTTTCAAACGTTTCGATTAAAACACGAGCTTATGTGTCGTCAGGCCTGATTTTGAACTGTCGCTAACATTTTTGAAGTTCTGGTGCCTTTGACCCAATTCCAAAAAAATGATTAATAGCGCTTTTGGAACCGGGATTTTGTATTATTTAACAACAAACTGCCAAGCTATAAAATCTAAGCAAAAACTTCAGCAACAAAGTTTTCCGTAAATGAAACCTCAAGATAAAAATTGAAAAACAATCAAAACTAAAACGCAAAATTAATGTTAAGCTATCGAACTCAAAGCAAATTCACAAATCTCGATCATTTGCATCTAAATAAGGAAATGTGCGTCACACGTTGATAAATTATGCCAGTCCTGAAGTTGCTGAACAAATCGGCGATAAAAATCCTCTGGTTCAACTTTGAAAGGCAAAAAATCGCATTTTTTTCCAGTTGAGGAAGGAGTTTTCTCGAATACACGCGATTTGGTGCCTTCAGGATTAGCCCCCCAATAACAAGCCCCATTTTAACTGTTGCATCTAATTGCTTCTGATGTTTTGGTCGTTTTGGTGCCCCACTCAACTCCAAAAGTTTCTGAAAAACTGCCGTGTTGGGGAATTGGGTTACTTGTTAATCGGAATCGAGGGGAAACTGTGAACTAGAGTTGGGATAAATAGTTATTTTTCTGTACCAAGGTTACAACGTTCCAGTTCCACGTTGGTAATAGGTTTCAAAATGCGGTTCCAAAAGGAACATGTTACCAGTCAGCATACATATTAAATTAGTGTCCCAGGGGTGAGAAATTTAATGAAACCCCTTTCAGTGTCTCAAAGGGTGAATATCCATACCTTTATGGTGGAAAGGCCGAAAAATAGATGATAAAAAGCACTCGAATGAGAACTGTTAAATGCAGTCGATTCCGAATTTAATTATCTAAAAATTAGAATTTTATTAGTCAGTAAATTCTCAGACAAATTGCGTTATCTTCCTATAACAAAAAGAAAGTTTGTTAGCGAAAAAAGTCGACAGCTGCAAACAATTAAACCTCCATTCCTCTATCCAGGTTAAGTAGAGAATTTGCAGCTGAATTTCAGACAGCAGAACGTATCGGTTTTCCTATAATAACAGTTTTGTTAGCCGATTGTATGGGGGAGCATCAGATGAGAATAATCATGTGTCGAATGTAAGCATTCACAGCCGGAATGCTGAGGAAATAACATGTCCACAAGAGAGTCAGAAGTCTCTTTCACAGCCAAAACAATGAGTTTCTATAGGCTTTTGTATGCTTATCAATCGATTTTGATAGATTTTTACGTTTAAATCCGTTTAATTGATTTTGGCTTCTGCTAATCTAACTCGATGTGTTCTAGAGATGGGATAAACGGTTATTTTTCTGTAACAAGGTAACACTTTGGTAATAGGTTTCAAAATGCGGTTCCAAAAGAAACATGTTACGTTTAAAATTTGTCATTAAACATGCGCAATGATAATGATGGTAGAAATAGTAATGACAAATAATGATTTAGTTTATTAAAACAATATTTCTTAACTAAAGCTCTTAGATAAAATAAAATATTCTAAAATAAAAAACAAAACATGGGTCAGAAGTACCTGCTTAAAGAGCAAACGAACCGATAATAAACTAGATAAAATAACAACGTTTTAATCGGAAAACGGCTGCAGCGCTCAACTGTTGCGGTTTTATGAGACAGTTCCAAAAACAACCGGTTAAATCTGCTAGCTAGAACCGTTTCAGGTTACACGTTTGTTACAATGTTATTTTAGCGGTTACGTTAAATACCGACCATCCCTAGTTTCCAATACACTTATTAACAGTTATTGTGGTAAAACTAATAATCATTTAGGCAAAATCCAAAAACGAAAAGTACAAACTCATGAATAACAACATGAATATCGAATATAATCCATATCAACGCCCTTGTAAAGGAAAATCAACTTGTATTGAGTGATCTCGACTAAAAGAAGCTGATAGAGAATAGTAAAAATTCAGAAAAAAACTGGAAAATGTATTTTTTTCAGGTTCATATCGTGCATTCTTATGACCGAATCGTTCCGTACGTGGGGCACAAAAGGTTGACGGTGGTGACGACGCCGCCTAAAGTGTTCTCGACGCGTCCGTCGGTTTTGCAACGAGAATACGACTGGATCGAACGGAAAGTCCGTCCAAGAGTTGGTTATTCGGCTACCAATCGCTACCTCAACTCGGACTCGGCTGTGGTAAGTCACACTTTCGTTTGGTTCCCGGACAGGATTTTGCAATACTTTTCAAAACCAATTCTATTCCAGATGAAAACATATTCTATCTAGAATCTATGTCTTTTCAGTAGGCTGTGTTATATTTTTCCTCAATGCAAGACGGTTTGATACGATTCTCTTCTACTTCTAAATTAACTGAAGTTTCAGGGTTGACCCAAACACATAACGAATGGAAACATAAAATGTTGTTCTTTTTTCAGCAAGTTCTCATCAACCGTCTATTTTCATCTACCAAACAGTTCAAAAGCCTTCATTCAATAAGCTAATGAATTGCAAGAATCAAAAGTGGCCAACTTGAAAAGTATCTCAAAACTCCCCAATCGTCATCATCAATGTGCTTTTAACCAATTTACGCTCAACATTGTTATTTTATTCAATTGGTTCAAACATTTTTGTTTAATCGTTACTTCATCCAGCTTTGTATCCTCTTCATCTGCGCTTGTGCTTTAACAATGTATCGCAATTTTTGAATTTGTATTAACCATTTGTTATCGAAACTATGCTATAACTGCAACTTCGGTATGCAGCAACGTTGTTCGTGATTGAATAAGCAACTTGAAGAAACGAAACACTAAAACACTGAAAAATTGGAATTAAATCGTATAAAATTCGCCAGGATTTTTATATAAAGTGCAACTAAAGTGAAAATGCTGACTTGGTATCGATATTGCAATAAAACCCGTGCAATCTGTGCACTTTGGCAGCAGCTGAGTGCGGAAAGGCACGTGTTTCTCAGCAAATAAAGATGCTGCATTTAAATTGAATCCTTACAGGGCCATCTTGTGTGCATAGAAAGCGATTTCGTTGCATTTAAATTGCGTCTCGATTAGAAATAAGTTACAACTATTGCGACTAAACAGCAAAGTCGGTGGAAAATTGACGAGGTTTTGTGGACTTTTGCTCTGGAAAATTAGACATTTTTCCGGGTTGAGGAAACCGCGAAAATCCGTTAAACATTAAGGGCAGATAAGCGTTTTTTAAAAATACCTGAATTTCTAGAAGCTTTGTGAGGGTGAAGTTAAATAGGGATCTTGACCAGGTCAAGTGGAGAGAGTTGTGACAACATTTCGCGAGTCAATTGGCTTAAGTTAGGCCTGGATAATACGGTGTCTTAAGACACTTGTGTGTTGACACCGCTCTGTGTGTCATGTGCCGAGACACCTCGCCCCTTGAACAACACTTAACATTTAATCTCATTCGGATTGCAGTTCGTGAAGGCCACGCGCAGTTGCCACATGGTTTCTGACCCTCTCGGCAGGGATTTTTTACCTTATAAAGCCGCACGAACGAAAGTGCTCAACATACTTGCCTACTGATTACTGATTCCAATGAGAAAAGTTTATTTTTTTTTCAAAAGATCGGCCCCCACCCTTGGAAACATTTTGACCGAAAATAATTTTTGGACAAAAATTCTGATTTTTGAAAAAAAAATTGAAATTTAGCAAGCATGTTTTTTGAGCTCAATCGATTCCTTTCAACGTAAGAAGGTCACAAATATGAATTTAGAATGTGTTCGGGTCAATAATAAGGAAGAAATCGTCGGATAAAGATCGTGAGCGCTCAAAAAACGCTTAAGATGTGCCGAATGTCTATTAATTCATATCTGAAACTTCTAGCATGTTCTTCAAAGAGTTCAATGGATTCCTCGCGCCCGTGAGCTGCAAATGATGGAAAATTTAAGACGTTTTGAAAAAATTAAAATTTTTTCAAAAAATCGACCTCCACCCTTAGAAAAATTTCGACTAAAAATCAAAATTTCACATGCGTGTTTTTTGAGCTCAATCGATTCGTTTCGACGTAAGAAGGCCATAAATATGCATTTATAAAGTGTTTGTGTCAATAATAAGGAAAAAATCGTCGGCAAAAGAT